TTTCAAATATAAGTGCTGCTGCCATATTTGATGCTATCACAACCTTCTTTTTTGATTTCTTTTTACTAGTTTGTCTTCTTTACTGAGATCATCGAGGGTTAAGAACCAATACAAAGATAAATCATTTTGGGGCACTTATGTGTGGCTTGAATTAGGCTGGTATAACACTCAGTATCATTGTGGAGGGTGGGGGAAATGTTGCATTTACAGATAACCGGAATCCTCATTCTTATTTCCTAGACCAGCAAAGAGCAAAGTTAAGCCACTTTCATCTCATAATCTGGCATTCATCGCTATGTGCCATGATTTATTATTAAAGTAATGATTTTTAAGTGTGAGTACCTATGCCTGAATACCTCAAAGCTCAGTACAAAAACAGAACAATAACAATATTCCTATCCAAAAGCGATAGTCAACCTAACACCCTGAACTAACTTAAGAAAATAAGCTCACTGAAGCCTCTTTACTATTTTCTTTTTTCTTTTTTTTCTTTCAATGCCTCAAAACTGCATATTATGCAGCTTCTGAACTATGTCTTAAGATTCATTACCAAATGGTTCCATATATTCACAGTGAAACTGTTCTTACTTGGAAACCTTTCTGGCAGCTATAGCCCCTGCCTGATTTAATCCAACTCAAGCAGGCGAAGTTTGTATCTTTCCTGAAAAGCTTACAGGTGTAAACATGCTGACTGCAATGCCAATTGTGGAGTGGCATCAAGGTAAACTCCTTTAATTTGCTCACTGCAGAGAATTAGTTTTAGGAATATGAATCTTCCTAACCTCTCGGCTAGTCTTCAAATTAACATAGTTTATGTCATCTGAAATTACTACTAGAGATGCCATTGGACTGAGATGATTCAGTCACAGAGGGACTAGAGTTGACATTTGTGAGCAAAAGATATTGTGCTGTGGCTTTATGCACCTGATCAAAGGCCCATTGGAGCCAACATGTTTTCCATGGACTTCCATGGAGTGTTATACATAAAACCCCACAAGCACAAACAAAATCTTGACTGCTAGCTTGTTTTGGAAACAATTACAGAGGAGTCTATTCATATTTCTACAACAATGTCCTTCTTTTTACCTACATCTAAATATTCAGTACTAATCCTCTTACTGCTTGTACCTTCCTTAAAACTATGTTGGAATATGTGAATATTGAATTATGAATGCATGAATATTATGCTAAAAATTAACTTTGGATAACTTGTCTGGAAAGATGTGTCATGAATATGAGTTGATGACAAGCTTAATTAACATCAGTGGAAAATGTGAAAGCTGTAAAAAAAAAAAAATAGGTCAGGAAAGAAAGTAAAATTAAAAAATAAATAAAATGCAAAAATCCTGTCAGACCATTTCACAGCAGCTAACCTTAGCGGAACCACTGGATCTGTTAATCTGAATAGGTCAAGATTTTTGATACCAGCTGCCAAGAGTCCAGCTAGGTTCTTGTCCTGCTTGGCCATTAGCAGTGCATCCTCTTTGTCTTCAGCGCAGATCGTTAGTGCTTTCCTCCTGTCGTGGATGGAGTGAGGAGGAGTGAAGCAGAGAGAAGCAGCAATATTGATTTAACAGAGTACAATTGTGACTATGACAGCGACTTAACAAGTGTCGAATGGCAAGGTTCACCCGGATTATTTACTGCGTGGAGGACAGGGTCAGGTGAAAGTGTCAAGGAGGCCCTCCCGTTGAGTCGCAAGGTTCAGAATGGACCTGAGGGATCCAATCCTAGTCCCAGACTTGGTGAACAGTTTATATCTAAGGATTATGTGCACGAGCAAGGTTTGAGCAATAAGCGTCAAGGAGGCCCTCCCGTTGAGTCATGAAGTTCGGAATGGACCTGAGGGATCCAATCCTAGTCCCAGACTTGGTCAACAGTTTATGTCTATGGATTATATACACAATCACACAATCACTCAGAGATGTACCCTAGCAAAGTTTGCAAGTAGATGTTAGGGAGACCCAGGCTTAATCTAAGGTTTGTGCCTAAGGTTTATGCCTAGGGATTATATCTAAAGTTTGTGTCTAAATGTGCACAATTAATCAGAGAGGTAACTTAACAAAGTTACAAAGTTTCAGCATGCTGTCAGTGTCACTTACTGAGTATCTGTCACAAGTGAGGAATCTCTCGACCTCAAGGAGTAACCTTGAGAGGCATCCTTGCTCAAGAGGAGATTCTGCAGTGCAGCCTGCCGCCATGCAGGAGAGCAAAATGGGCTCTGGACCACCCCCTATTTATGAAGGTAACATGATTAACTCATAGTCATATTAGCATACTAGACAGTGCTCTGTTAGACCCTGTCCAAGTGCGTTTGCATACTACGTGGGTTCTAGTTCACGCATGCTCAGTTAGCCCCTTTCTAGGCGCTGTTTATGAGGAGGTGATGTTTAGGCTGAGGAGGAAGAAGAGCACCATCTCAAAGTGATGTTTAGGCTGAAGGAGAAAAGCAGCACATCGGCACGGGGAGGGGGGAAAGGAATGCGCCATCACACGTCCCTGCTTCCTTTCCCTCAGAAGACAAAAACATATGTCCCTTATTCCACTCTAGTAGAGATTCAGTTCCACGATTGGCTGAGGGTGCTCTTGGCTGAGCATTTCAGGAATGGGACCACTTTGCTCAGGCCATTCAGTTTCGCCCTAACATTTCTCTAGATCCATATTACCAAAGAAAAGAACTCACGTACCACCTAGATGTTCTCACCATATTGAAATCCCCTCCACAAGGCAGAAATTTGATAGTGATTGCTCTGTGAGAGCCTTTGTGTATGGTAGATACATCGATAGTGGGACTAGGAAGTCTGAGCGTACACCCTGCCTGATTCCTTCTGGGCACAGACTGATGGAAGTGGGTACCTGGATGCAAGTCCTGTCCCATGGAGCACTCCAGAAGAGCAATGATGGCATCCAATTCAAGTTAGCGCAGCCCTCTCCATCTCTGTTTCAGATATCCCCCAGGTGTGGTGAAGGTCTTCCACCAACAGAAGAATAAATTCAAGCCATTAAAGAGTGTGAGAAATCTGTTTAGGCTAAGTAGCTGTGACTTGGGTATTAAGTGATCAATTCTGCAGTCTTTTACAAGAGACAAGCCCTATAGAACTAATAAGGAAAGAAGGAAAAAAGTCAGGGCTCCAGGAAAGGCATTCTAGCAAGCTAGAGAATACAGGTAGGACTGATCAGCTCATGGATCCAGTCTCCAGAAGTCTGCAGGCAGCACAGCTCTGTGTTTTATTTCAAACAATGGTTCCAAAACCTACAGGAAGGCTACCGCTCTGAAGCTTCATAGCCCTTTCCCGTCAGGAGGCAGATACTATTAAAGACACCGCTCATAAAGACACAGAGATGGATTTATCACAACAGCCAGTTCAGGCATGTTGGCAGGTTGGGATAATGAGTTTGGGGTGTTACTTCCAAAGAGGCTGTTGCCCTCCTGGGTAGCGCAGCATAAAGTTTTAAGTTTTTAAATAAAATAGAAAGATAGAGTGAAAAGAATTAGAAATAAATACATTGAAGTGTCTACTTTGGAAACAAAACCACAATTCAGTTTAATAGGAATTGCTGACAAGCTTAGTTAACATCTGTGAAAAATGTGAAAGATGTAAACAACAGGAAAAATAATCAAAAAAATAAATGAAAGATCCTGTCAGACCATTTCATAGCATTTCACAAATTACTAGAAGGGAGGGTTAAAAACCTTCATTCTATTTTTAAGGAGTAACACAAGAACGTCTAAAACAGTTTCAAAGGAGTATAGTTAAAGACAGTTTGGCGTACTGTGAAGAAAAGCAATAAATTCAGTCACCTGAAAGCTACTCCTAGATTTTACCATTTTCATAGTTGATAATTTTGCATGTGCAGTCAATGGGTTGCTAAAAGTTCAAGAAGCCATTTTTTCCTAGAGCTGTTGCAGTGCAATCTATGCTTTTGCTGAGTTTTCTTTTTCCTATGATCTCCATATTCTAACTGCTACTCTGAAAAGAGAATATAAGGTGATTTCAAAGGTCAGCTGTTGCCAGCCAGTTTTGTGCAAGTATTGTATACTGTGAAGGTAACCAGATAAGGTGCTTTTTAATCTCTCTTTTAGATTTTTGTATCCAGAAGCAATTAGTGGAAGGAAATACACTCGCTTTCTCTTTGGACATGTACATCATTCTAGTGGTGCAGTTGGAGATTTGTCATTGGGACATTCCTGAATTCACGTGACAGCTAGGCTCAATGCTGTAGCTTTATTTAATTGCTGTTACCACTGAAACCATAATTTAATCTCTAACCGGACATCATTAATAAGTTTGTAATCCACTTCCTAGTATTTCTAGAAATGTTTGTGTAGGGTTTCTGGGATGGTTTAGATTGAAATATGTCATTTCTATTCCAAACAGCCTTACAGTGCAAACACAGGCTTCATCTCTGTGCTGGTTTGATTTCAAAGCTTCTGCCTGCTCTGTCTCCTTCTGGTCCACCTATGCTATCATACGAATTGTCACCAAGGGAAATGTTTTTCAAAGACTTCTGTGACAGAACTCGATGCTACCTGGGAAACGCGTTCTCAAAGCCACCTTGCCTTCAGCACAGCTTCTGTTCTCTGGGCGCTTCTACTATAGGCAAATGGTGGGGCTTTATTTCTCTAGCTAAAACCTGAGTGCCAATAAAGTGTTTGCCTTTCATCTCTACTTTCTTTGCAGTTCTCCTCACCAGCTTTCACAAAATGGCCATTTCTCCTGCATGTTATCGACTAAGACAATTCTAATAGTACTGATTTATCCTTACTCCCTTCCCTGTAGTTGCTTGGGACTCTGTATTTATTAAGGGATTCTCTACAGAAGAAATGCAAAGAGGAAGGCCTATGTTTTTGTGATCTTATTATTATTACAGAACTGATGATAGTACAGTGCATATGCAGTTTTATTGCAAACATAATCTTCCATGTTCCCTGTTTTGTTATGCAAAATCTAGCATAATGAAGTAAGCATAATAATAAATAAACAAAACATGCCAAGAAATAGGGTTCAACTTTTATTTGCCAAGTTGGAAAAATCTTTTAGTCCTACTAAAAAGCCCTGCATTACAGTGTGTTGTAATAAATCAAAATCTGTGAAGGAAAAGCCCTGCCTATTGCAGGAAAGTTGCTTTGATGCTAATTCCTCTCTTCCTTCTCATGAGAGGATTAGCTTAGGGTCTAGAAACTGCAAAGGCACCCAGTCTGTCAACTTAAAAGCCTTTTTTCATTTGCAAATAAATAAATGAATTTCCTTAGAAAGCCTGTGCATCACCACCAGATGATGAATCTCACGTTTTCCTCTAGGTCACAGTGAGTCAGTTTTGTGCTTGTCAGTTTTGACTTTTTTTTGACATTTCTTTTACAAACAAAATTCACCTGGCTTTCTGTATTAGGGAGGCCCTTATAAACTCTGCCCTTCGGTAATATGGTCTGACATTGGTTTTTAAAAAGACAGAACTACTGTGGTTTTACTGCTTATTTAATATTTTTCAAGCTTAATTTCAGAGAAAGGTTTCTAATGAGTTGTAGTATGATCTCTCTGTGAAAAGGTCTTGCAAAGAATGCTGCTCTTAGATACTTTTTTGTATTTATGGCTGAATAGGTCCCTAAAGGACCACGCAGTTCTAATTTGGCATATTGAGTATTTTTCTTCCAGGGGAAGGTCACATGAATTTAGCTATCCACACTTGGTGGTGTGTCCCTGTCAGGGGACATGTTATCTGTGATACTACACAGCTATTTGACATTTAACATTTCGGAGGTTGATGTACATTTGTATACAAGTTATATGACTTACAGCAGGTGTACTATTATGATGCTCTGCAAAGCCAAATACTAGATTCAGGGCTGCAATGCTTGAAAGAAGTTTTGGATAATTCCTAGTCTTAGTCTTTGAGTTTTCCCAACAGATTAGGTCTGACAAAACACCCTTTTAACAACAACAAAGATAAATTCACATCTGAGGTTTTTGCCACTGGTTTTATAAACACGTATATTTATAGGAAATTACTTCTTTTTCTTTTTTTAGTAAAAGGTAGAAAGCTTTTAACTTTACAGTTTGGATCCCTCCCTGTTTTTCTGCTCTATATTCAGATACAAGCTTCTGAACAAAAAGAATTTCTTAAGATTTCTTAAAGCTAACATTCAGATATATCTCTTGCTCAGAGGATGGGAGGGACTTAAGGCCAGCACACACAAAATTTTTCCTTTTAAGAGAGATTTCCTTACACACAGTTATGAAGTCTTTGCAAAGGTATGTCAAATGGAAATTTAGATTTTTTTTTTTTTTTGCTTATATGCCTATAAGATCTAAATACCTGCAGGGATGAAAGCAAGTACAATAAGTGACAACATCATATACTTAAACAACTGAGAACAATGTAAAGCATATGGCACTACTGATGGAAACCATGCACGAGGGCTTCTGTATACTGGTTGCTCCAAGGATCATTGTCGTTTCATCTCCATCCATTAATAGGGGTTTCATTTCCACAGAGTGTTTGAATGTTGTATTTTTGTTGCAAGTGTCTTCAGGTACCACTGTCAAAAATATTTTTTTGTCTCTCTATCAGCGATAGAAACAAGAAAAAGATACACCAAAAACTGAGAGGCAAGAAAATACAATTAGTGTTATTCTGGCTTATCAAGCTATCTTTACTATGGGGTGTAGTGGGAAAGAACATAACTGCTTCTGCAGTTGCCCGAATGTTCTCTGAACTGCCAGACCAATATTAACATATCGTCTCTCACCCACTGAAAGCACAAGACCATACTGCTCCTGGATCCTCCAAGAGTTACTAAGGCCTTAGGTGCCGTTTCCAGTACAGTGAGCATTAGTACCTAACAAACTTGGGTTTCCCTTAAGAGCTCTAGAAGGGTTATTCCTCCAGAAGAACACAGAAAAGGGAATTTAATCTAAATGTATTATTATTATTCCCAACACGTACATTCAATTAAGAAAGAAGCATTTACCCTTGTTCAAATGATTAAAGTCGTATTTTCAAGAGAAGAAGAAGGAAGATGAAGACGTCCTGAGGAAAATAATTCTGTGAGGAAGATAGATAAAAATCAGTATTTTAGATATGATGTATGATAGATATAATCAGTGTTAGGAAATGTAGAATATGAACCAGAGAAATGTTATATATAAAGGCATAAGGGCTTTTGATCTAATAGACAGGATGGAAACTGAGCAAGGAGATCTTATAATCAAAACACCAGTATGAGAAGGTATAAGCTAAATTGAGGAAAGGGAGAAGATGATGAGGAACTGTGATTATTTAAAAATGAAGTAGTAAGAAGTTCTTCAGGTAAGATTATGAGGGTGGAAAGTAAACCAGAAAGAGCTGTGGCCACTGCCAAAAGGTATTGGTTTAAAGCTGGCTTTGGGAACATTTCCAAGTCACTATATACTGTTCTGCCAAGTAAGAAGGGTATAGTGGTTAGAAAAGGGAATTCACAGACCTGTATTTGTTGTGCCTTTTTGCACTGGCTCCCAGCATGACCTTAGGCAAATGACTTCTTACCTCAACAAGCATGTGTCTCAGCTTCTCTCTGTGTATGCAGCTTAAATGAGATTTTCGTTAATTCTTGTAAAGAAGCTTGGTGTATTACCAGTGTAAAATGTTATTATGTATTTAGGATTCTGTCTAGAAAAGAATAGCAAGTGTACCCTTTTGTGCATCAGTTTTCAGATCCATTAACAACTTTGTTTTGTTCACTTGTTTACTGCTTTTTCAATACCCAATTAAGCCATGTCTATTACATTATCATGTGCCATATAAAATGCTTGCGCTTAACAATCTTCAGGGCTGAAGGTAGTAAGCATTTTTTTTCTTCTCCTCCCCTCCTTCCACCCAGACAGTCATTGCTGCTTCTTTTAAAATTACAGTGACTCCTTGTGCAACGGGTCCATCTTTCTTGGAATATCAGGCTTCAGGATGGCACAAGTTTTATTTGTCATTCATTTCTGGATATTAACCATTCCATTAATATTGCACTTCTTAATGGTGGGTGCAGACATGATATTTGTGTCTCCTGTAACTTTTTTATGATCAGGGAGTGTTTCCAGTGATAAGCTGTTACTAGAGGGCAAGACTGAAAAGAAGTTAAACAATGTAGTAAATTAAACACATTAAGGCTTCCAAACATGTTAGAAACATAATTTTCCCATTAAGTATTGTGACCTTTGAGTTATTCTATTTTAAGGTCTTTTTCTTCTAAGAATTTAAGCCCTTTAAACTGCATGGAAAGAAATAGCTCATTACTGAAAATATCCACACAGCAAACATGTCTTAGCCTGTATTTGGAATTCTCTCATGTTTCAGTCAAGCTGCTGAGAGGACTACAAATCACCTGCATGCAGAGAGCAGTGCAAAAGGGACTTGGGAAAGACATACCCGCCTTCCACTGAAAATTTTGCTCTGATTTATTCACAGATAGGGGAGAAACGCTTTGAACATGTCAAAGTCCTAGGAAGATCTTGTCGGTTCCGTAATCAATCAGCATCTTCAGAGCAGTGATGCAGATCATCACGTGCATGGCTCTTATATTTACGTGCAAGAAGGCAGCTAAAAGATGACAGTTATCATTTCATCACATTGGGTCATTTGCCTTATGTGATGAATTGAATTCACTTTTGGTTTCAATTCTAATTTTTTGTCCTTTCTGAACTTTAGTAAACAACATTCAATCAGTTGCTTCCCAGAGCATATTTTGCAGATTTGTGTTTAAATTTCCTTCTTTTTTTCCCCCTCTTTTTTCCTTTAGAGAGATTGACGTAAGTGAATGCGATGAACTTGCCTTCCTTGTGTGTTGCTAGTTACAATAATAGCATTGCCTAGGATTTGGCAGGCATGGTAAAACAGGAAAGAAATGCACAGAGAGGGAAAACCTGGGTTCCCACTCACTGCACACCTTGGGACAAAATTTCCAAGAGCAATAAATTATTAATAATAATGTGAGGTTTTTTCCTGTCTCCCTCTTGGACTGCAAATTTAGTGGGATCAGGACTACTTCTTCTGCTATTTGAATAATAGAGAAGGTTAATGTTGGAATTTTTATTACATGGGATTTCCAATAATGTGAAATTTCCTTCCTTCCCAATAATGGAATAAAATTTCACAATCATGAAATTTATTGTGGAGAAAAGTAAAAAACTTTTCCTTGTAATATTATTTTTTTAACAGCAAAGCAAGATCTGCAGAAGGTCTGCGGCCTCTTGATTTTCCGTGTTTGCGACAATGTCTTGCAATTCCTCATGTTTCAGATGAGCATACGAGGGCATGACCCATCAATATTAGTCATTATCTTTCTGCTGTTTGGTTTCTTTCCCTCCAGCAAAGTAATAACCCACAATTTTCCCAAAGTAAAGTAGACTTACTCAGCAAAGAATGAAAGAGGAGTGAAAATTTCTGAAAAATAATCAGTCCATTCATGGACACCTCTGATCATCAGACATACCTGATATACACATTACTCCAAGCTAGCTTACATTTTCTTCTTAAATAGCATTCTTCGGAGAGTCACAGACTTATCACAGTTCAGACTGGCCTAAGCGTGCACACCAGAGGCTGCCTATCCCAGCGCATTCCCGACTGTGTGTAGGCAGTTGCTTTTTCTGAAAGCTCTGTATTTACTGGAAGAATCTGTGGTTAATTGATATAATTTCATGGCTTTTATTATACTAAGATGTGACATGTCCATTTATCTTATGCACTATTCGTAGTCATTTTATCCCCTGAACACATTGGATATATACAAGGACCAAATCCCTCACCTTCTGGGTTAGGTGAATGAGTGCTGCTTGTCAGCTGGAAACAGATAAAGAAACAAGATGGGGGTGGGGGGTGATTTGGGCAAAAAATCGATTTAGCACATCACTTGGATTTTTTTATAAATTTTTTTTAAATGTGATATTTTCTGTCAATAATTTATTTTAATTTTCTTAGCTCATGTTAGGGTGTTAATGATTGACATCAAGTCATTGCATTGCTACAGGCATGGGATCTTAAGAACAACGTTCTGGAATACTTCAGGTGATTTCCATTGTATGCCTATATTGAAAGATGACCATGTCATCTTTTACTTTTCTAGTCTTCAGTTTTCTTATTCAGTCCAATGTATCTAACAGCTTTTAATCACAGTATAATGCTCTTCAAACTATAGCAAATGCAAGAGAATCTTCACTCTTTTTGGTAATACAGATCTTCCCCTGCTTTCACAGAAGAATTAATATGCAGTAAGTTGAGTGCCTATGAGCCACAGCTGAATTCAGACCACAACTCTACTAATGCGTAGACCCTATCCATTAATCCATGAAGAGCCTGGGCAAAGCGAGGAGAGAAAGGTGAGTGAAAATAAGTTGTTTTCACTAGTGGCAGACCCAGAAAAAGATCTCATATTTCCTAGCTCATATCCTGGCTTCATTCATTAGACCATTACTCAAGTTCCTAATCTTCACTGATCCAGTTTGTTGGGTAAAACCCCCTCCCAAGTGACTTGAGATTTACTTCCCTAGCCCTACGAGGTTACAGCAGATGTCACAAGCTAGTTTTATGAGTATGTACCTATTTTCCCCCAGATGACATTAGCCACCCTCTTCCAGCTGCTGTGATATCTGGAGATGTGACTTGGAGAGGAACACCTAAAAGGCTTGATAGGAAGGCAGCAGCAGACACACAAACAAGAACTCCTGTCAGGCAGGCAAGGCACTTGGCAGCAAACATGACTCTGGGGAACAGTGCCTTCCTCTCAGTGTCTATGGGATAAGGCTAACCCTGGCACAAGATAAACTTGAAACAAGGTAAAACCTCAAATTACTGAGTAAAAGTCTGTAAGGAAGATGTTTGTGTCTGTATATCTGCTACTAGCAAACATAACTTGCTTCAAAAGCAGGACAAGCTTAACTGCCCTGTGGCATTGGCTCTATTGCTCTAATTTTCTCAGCTTCATATTTTTATTTTCAATATAGAATTTCTTCTCTGTTTTGCTTTCTCCTAGAGGTAGCTTTATCTCAAAATTAAGAAAAGATGTGCTGTGAGTTCTTTACCCTTTTTTTTCTTATAACCTCTATAAAGCATAATTGCAGTTTATTGAAGGTAGATAGATAATACATTTTCAGGGTTTTTTTTCCTCTTTCTTGGTTTGGAATTTCCTTATATATGTTGGGGGTCAGTGCAATACTCATCCCCTAATGTAAATGCATCTAACCAGTCTGATTTATGGCACTTTTTCCAAAATCTCAATGTCAGTTTGGTACATGATATTTCACATTTCAGTTTAGTATGCCAGGGTTGAGATGTTCTCTGGAGTACAGAGAACAGTTGCAGTTGTTTACTGTTTGTTTGTTTTTAGATAGACATTAACATCACCAGGTAAACAGGGAAAAAAATGAACTTGCCTTAATTCAGATGTCTGAGTATCTTGAACTGAATCCAGGGCATTTGAGGTGCTTTATTTTGTTTTTAATAGTATGTGCAAGGCAAAAGAACACACAGTTTTAGATCCTCTTGGAGCTTCCAAGATCACAAGACACTATACTTCCCTTCTTGCTGCTTCTACATAAAAACTCCAATTAATGCAGACGTGCATTATGTGTTAGCATCAAGGGGAGAATTTTACGGCAACAGCTCATGCATGGCACGCCTGACTGAGTAGTGAAGAGGAGAGCATAAACAGTGATTTTCCAGTGGGAGTTTGAAAAGGCTGATAAGGAGTCTGTCTTGAGAAAGACATCTCATCTCTTCCACTGTGTTCAGACTCTTAGATTAGACTCCTAAAATAATACACATCCTCAGAAGCTTGCTGAAGAATTCAGTGCTGCCCATAAGACAGATATGGATTGATTTTTGTTTGTAGGTGGGAGAATTCTGCAGGCTTAAAATGCAAAGTGGGACCTGGTCTGGAAGAGTCAGTAAAGTAATTAGGCAGTCACTGAAGTCAAACAGAATTGATAAGGTCAGAGAGATCAGCATTTGGGTCTTGTAGAGCAAACGGAAGCTGAAAACGTAGAGCAGAAATATTTGGAAACGTGTATTTTTGCAAGCTGTCAAGAGAAGTGTTTGAAATTCTCCTCACTTTTCTCTGCTTGTTTTTTCTCCACTATTTGGAACTATCTGAAAACAGGAAATGGCTCTATAAGCTTTCCAAAGAGTGATTTTGATAACTTCTTCCTTCATAACATTTCTGTTTGTTTTTAAGCAGCTGCAATGCAGGGCAACTGCTACTGTGGACAGGTGCATAGCAATGGGAGACTAAGGAGTGTGAGATACAGTAGAAGAAAGGAAAAGAAAGTCGAATTAAAAAATGTGGACGATGCACTCGGAAACCTTGCTGCTAAGTACATGGGAAAATTTTACGTCGGATGAATAGTGGATGATGATTGTGTCACAGGGCTTGGTTTTCATAGAAACGACGAAATTCCTGGCTTACTCAGTCTAATCCTCTGTTACTGCAAGAAACTGTGCCTTACTCATATGTTTCTCAAGATTTCCTGTGCAGTGAACATCACGTGGTAGCTATAAAAGAAAGTATCCATTTGGGTCAATGTGACTGGACTTATTTATCCACACAGTAGTTGAAGGATGAGAGTGAGAACAGTAGTCAATCCAACTTTTTCTGCTGCCACCTCCTTTCGATGACAAAAGGCTTGCACGGTGGCTGGGAGCTGCCCATGGAGAGAGGTTTGGTAAGAGAGGAAGTAGGCTTAAACCTGTAAGGTTGTCATTCTGGCTGTGTCTACGCGAACTTGAAGACCCTCTCTATACCCAGACAGCTCTTAGTGTGAAGGGAAACTTCAGGACGCCCTTCAGGAAGCAATGTAGCCATATCCCAAGGGGTTGATTTTAATTTGAGTCGTTAACGATCAAAACAAGATCCTTCCTAAACTGAGTAACTGGTATATACCTATTAACATTGTTAATAGGGTTTTTTATATCCAGTTCTTAGTGGTGACATTTTGATAAGCATACAGAAAACAAAATAGTTATTTTTAACATTACACAGTACCAACATCTCAATTCATTTTTTTAAAAAGAGGGCAAAAATCCATATCCTCATTTTCAGACATGAAAGCTAAGGCACTGAAAGGTGAAATAGCTTTCCTAGTTTGTTAAGAAATCTGAATGATCCCTAGTGATCACTGGATGAATCCAGCCTATTCTTGGCTAATGAGGCCAAAATATAACATGTTCTGAATTTGCCTGAGACAAGCTCAGATGCACTTCGGGAAAGTGGAAATTTTACTATATATTATACCATGCTCGATGCACTGATGTGGCAAAAAAAAAAGGCAAGAAAACAAAATTCTAATGTAGGGTTATTAGTTTGAATAGGAGTGTGCATCGTTTTCAACAATTTATGATTGGGATATGTTAGAAAAAATTGCAGTCAATTCACCATGAGCCTGATCTAGCAGTTCAACCTTAAGGTTATGCACCAGTCCAGAGCAATTTATTGTAAGTTTGTTTAATTAATGTGGAGCATTTATTTTTAAAGTATTTCAGTGTTCTCCATATTTGAATTTTGGTGAAATTAGTAGAGGATTCCATTAAACTGTGATTTTACTAATGTAATTTGATGGCTCAACATCTCAGTGTGCCTAGTTTTCACTATTTTTCTCCTTTAAGGTTTGACATGATCAGTCAGATCTGAGAATTATAATTAGGCAATGTAGAAATAAGCTTCAAAATTTCTGGTCCTCATAGAAAGAGCCAGTAGGTATGTACTTAAAAACGAGGAAAAAAGGTCGACCTGCTTTTTTGGTGGAGTCTCAACTTCTGATTGATCTATTTTTATTTCTTTCTATTGATCTATTTATCTTCCCATCCAGTCTGTCACTAATAATCTTGACCTTATTTTGCATTGATTGATCATTTAAAGTAATTTGTAATCTGAATGCTGGTAATTTAATAATGTCAGCCAATTAGAAGTTAAATAGAATCAATAAACCAATCTGACATCACTGAGAGAAACACTGAAGTTACCAATGTCTCATTATCCCTTTCAGCTTTTCATATTAATATTTTCAGAGATTAAGTTGACCAAAGATATTACTAGAACTTGGAACATAATTCATATCATGATGTTACCTTTTAGCTATCAATTTTGTCCAGCTTCCGGTAATAGAAGTCAGCAAAGGCTGTTACTTGTTCAGCCTCAGCAGGTACTGCTTTGTGTAATCAACACCTGGTACAGGAAAAGATGTATTTTATTTCTCGCTCCCAACGGAGCACTTCTCATCATGTCTATAATCCTTGTTTTCCAGCTGTTCTGCTCTTCAGGACTTATTTCACTAATAAAAAAGAGTCTGGTAACTTTTTATCCAGCCATCCCACAACTCAGATCAATATAATTCAGGGAGAGATAGGCATTTTGCTGAAAGGGTGAAATGTTTCCCCCATAGAGAATTTGGAAAACATCAGCTATTTGAAAGAAGCTTATATTATTGAAAATATCAGAGAGATGGAGTTGGCTGTAAGAGAGCAAACGAGATGTTTCACAGTAATTGTGCATATTCGCATGCTTGTTCCATTTCATATATATGGATATCAGACAGTGTCATCTCACAGGTACCTGAACATACAGGATTCATTAAGAATCTAAATGGAACTGGTCCTGTAGGTGAATAGTAGTTGTGTGCCATCACGAAGCCCACTACCCTTTATAAGCTTTTGAATTTTAAATGGCAACTACTGATTATTACATCTTTTGTGCAGTATATTTTGCTGATCTCTGGTTCCTTCAGCATAAACAACAACCTGAACACCCAGAAACCTATTTCATATCCTGAAGGAAGTATGGCTGTGAGATATGTTTGGGGACGTCTGTAAAAATCTTCTCCAAAGCTTGGTGTGTGTCATGGGGAAAAGGATGGTGGCGGTTGCTTTGAAGAGATCCCTCTTCCTTATTGAATACCTTTATGGAAAATATATTTTCAATGTATTTCCTCTACATCTAAATGAGTAAATAAATATCCAACAACATATCAAAACACAGAAGGATCTGAGATCTCTTGGCTTTTCTCCTACTATTTTTAATTCCCTTTTATTTCTTGATTAAAAGTTTATTTGGTCTGTCCATTGCTTGTGTTAGATGAATTAAAACTTTTGTGGCATCCTGCAGGTCTGAGTACAATTTATCATTTCCACCTCTTGATAGTGACAGACTCGTGCTCGGGCACGAGAGCCTTGACCATTTGAAAGTGCTAATAGCATGCATTAGCATAGTTGTAAGCTTCCTGTTTACTTTCCTATAGGCTCTATCAGTAACTGTTCTTTTATTTTTGGGTTTATTTTGCTTCATTTTGTGGCCTGCCTGCTAAATCAGTCCTAGCAACAAAACCTGGATTATTATGGCTTTAGACAAAAGCTTCAGTGAAGGTGGTAAATACTGTCCATGTGCCATTGAGCCGCATCTAATCCTTTGCCAAAATTCTTTGTAATTCTTTGTAACCCCTTCCCTAAAATTCTACTTTTCCAAATGAATGGACAACACAGTGGCACTGGCCTTTCCCTCACCAGTTTCTGATTTTGGGTTGTTAGCTCTGTTCTGCACATGTTCCTTCTCCATGCCAGTACAGATTAGCTCTACTGGCAGCTATGTTAATCCAGATGTTTGCCACATCGATAATTCTTAGTCAGTCTGAAAGACCAAGACACATGAGGGGAAGGATACCACATGACAAATAACTGCCTGCTAAAATCCCACTTGCCAGTTACTTCATTTCAGGGGAAGCAGGTAATGTTCAGCAGCCAAGCCCACGGATATTTGCACATGAGAGCTTGTATCGGTTCCCGCATGCCACAACCACCACCTGACCTCCATTCTCTTATCACCATTTTTGTCTGAGTTTCAGCTGTCTGAATTGTGGATGGGATGAACAGAATGAGTGAGAGGCACAGCAGTGGCCTAGCAGTTTGAGCTAAAGCAATCCATGTGCCTTTCCAAGACAGAAAGCAAAAAACCCCACAAAATGAACAAAAAACACAACAGCAAGCAATTAAGGCATCATT